AGGCAAGGAGAAGGACGCGAGGGCATAAAGTATGTGTTTTGTACCTTAAATGCTAGGGCGCTCTCCTAATTATAAACATATGACAATTGATAAAAGTTTATTAGGGAAATCTATGCTGAAATACCCCCTAACCATTTTAAATGCATATTCATCACAAAAAATAATTCCTCTGGTGAGATATTGCGCATGCGCTAAGACATTAATGTAGCCGGATTGTGTACTAGCTGGTATACGCAGCCGGGACCTTTCATGCAAGGTCTCCCTCTTATTTCTTAAATGATGTCTACAGATGTAATGTTATTATATAAATCTATGCTAGGATAACTCCTCTTCATTTTAAATGCATAATCTTTGCAATTTCACGGGAGATATTGCGCATGCGCGCGCACCGTGTTAGGCGTGCAGTGCCGTCTGAGGCAAACTTTATAATATAGCTTGCTGCGGGAGAGAGGGGATGGGAGACTGAGAAAAGGCTGCAGGGAAAATGGCTAGGGGCGGTAGAAGAAGAAGAAGCCTGAGCGACGCACAGGGGAGTCAAGGAAAGAACGCGAGGGCATAAAGTAGGTGGTTTTTGTACCCTACATGCTAGGGCGCTCTCCTTATTATAAACACATGTCTACTAATAAAAGTTTATTAGGGAAATCTATGCTGAGATATCCCCTAACCATTTTAAATGTATATTCATCACAAAATGTAACTTCTCTTGTGAGATATTGCGCATGAGCTAACACACTAACGTAGCCAGATTGTGTACTGGCTGGTGTACGCAGCCGGGACTTTACATGCAAGGTCTTCCTCCCATTTCTTAAATGATGTCAACTGATAGAATGTTATCATAAAATCTATGCTAGGATAACTCCTCTTCATTTTAAATGCATAATCTTTGCAAAATACGATTTCTCTCAGTAGATATTGCGAATGCGCGCGCACCGTGTTAGATGTGCAGTGCCGTCTGATGCAAACTTTATAATATAGATTGCTGAAGTAGAGCGGAAATGGGAGACTGTGAAAAGGCTGCAGGAAAGATAGCTAGGGGCGGTAGAAGAAGAAGGAGGCTGCGCGAAAGACTGGGGAGGCAAAGGGAAGGACGCGAGGGCATAAAGTAGGTGTTTTGTACCCTAAATGCTAGGGCGCTCTCCTAATTATGAACACAGGTCTACTGATAAAAGTTTATTAGGGAAATCTATGCTGAAACATTTCTTAACCATTTTAAATGTATATTCATCACAAAATATAATTCCTCCGGTGAAATATTGCGCATGCGCTAACACACTAACGTAGCCAGATTGTGTACTGGCTGGTTTACGCAGCGGGGCCATTACATGCAAGGTGTAATGTTATCATAAAATCTATGCTAGGATAACTCCTCGTCATTTTTAAATTTATAATCTTTGCAAAATACAATTTCTCTCGGTAGATATTGCGCATGCGCGCGCACCGTGTTAGGCGTGCAGTGCCGTCTGAGACAAATTTCATAATATAGCTTTCTGAGGGAGAGAAGGGATGGGAGACTGAGGAAAGGCTGCAGGGATGATATCTAGGGGCGGTAGACAAAGAAGGAGGCTGAGCGAGGGACAGAGGAGACAAGGGGAAGGATGCGGGGGCATAAAGTAAGTGTTTTGTACCCTACATGCTAGGGCGCTCTCCTAATTATAAACACATGTCAACTGATAACATTTTTTAGGGAAATCTATGCTGAGATACCCTCTAATCATTTTAAATGCAAATTCATCACAAAATATAACTGCTCTGGTGAGATATTGCGCATGCGCTAAGACATTAATGTAGCCAGATTGTGTACTGGCTGGTATACTCAGCCGGGACCTTTCATGCAAGGTCTCCCTCTTATTTCTTAAATGATGTCTACAGATGTAATGTTATCATATAAATCTATGCTGGAATAACTCCTCTTTATTTTAAAAGCATAATCTTTGCAAACTACGATTTCTCTCGGGAGATATTGCGCATGCGCGCCCACCGTGTTAGGCGTGCAGTGCCGTCTGAGGCAAACTTCCTAATATAGCTTTCTGCGAGAGAGAGGGGATGGTAGACTGAGGAAAGACTGCGGGAAGATGGCTAGGGGCGGTAGAAGAAGAAGGAGGTTGGGCGAGGCACAAAAGAGTCAAGGGAAAGACGCGAGGGCATAAAGTAGGTGGTTTGTACCCTACATGCTAGGGCGCTTTCCTAATTATAAACACATGTCAACTGATAAAAGTTTATTTGGAAAATCTATGCTGAGATACCCCTTAACCATTTTAAATGCATATTCATCACAAAATATGACTCCTCTGGTGAGATATTGCGCATGCGCTAACACACCAACGTAACCAGATTGTGTACTGGCTGGTATATGCAGCGGAGACCTTACAGGTAAGGTCTTCCTCCTATTTCTTAAATTATGTCAACTGATGGAATGTCATCATAAAATCTATGCTGGAATAACTCCTCTTTATTTTAAATTCATAATATCTTTGAAAAATAGGCAATTTGCAAATTACTCTAGAGAGATATTGCGCATGCGCGCGCACCGTGTTAGGCGTGCAGTACCGTCTGAGGAAAACTTTATAATATAGCTTGCTGCGGGGGAGAGGGGATGGGAGACTGAGGAAAAGCGGCAGGAAAGATAGCTGGGGCAGTAGAAGAAGAAGGAGGCTGAACGAGGGACAGAGGAGGTAAGGGGAAGGACGCGAGTGCATAAAGTAGGTGTTTTGTACCCTACATGCTATGGCGCTCTCCTAATTATAAAAACATGTCAACCGATAAATGTTTATTAGGAAAATCTATGCTGAGATACTCCCTAATCATTTTTAATGTATATTCATCACAAAATATAACTCATCTGGTGAGATATTGCGCATGCGCTAACACCAAAACGTAAACAGATTGTGTACTGGCTGGTATTCGCAGCGTGTACCTTACATGCAAGGTCTCCCTCTTATTTCTTAAATGATGTCTACAGATGTAATGTTATCATATAAATCTATGCTGGAATAACTCCTCTTCATTTTAAATGCATAATCTTTGCAAAATACGATTTCTCTCAGTAGATATTGCGCATGCGCGAGCACCGTGTTAGGCGTGCAGTGCCGTCTGATGCAAACTTTATAATATAGCTTGCTGAAATAGAGAGGGGATGGGAGACTGAGGAAAGTCTGCAGGAAAGATAGCTAGTGGCGGTAGAAGAAGAAAGAGGCTAAGCGAGGCACAGGGGAGTCAAGGGAAGGACGGGAGAGCATAAAGTAGGTAGTTTGTAGCCTACATGCTAGGGCGCTTTCCTAATTATAAACACAGGCCTACTGATAAAAGTTTATTAGGGAAATCTATGCGGAGATACCCCCTAACCATTTTCAATGTATATTCATCACAAAATATAACTCCGCTGGTGAGATAGTGCACATGCGCTAACACACTAACGTTGCCAGCTGGTGTACTGGCTGGTATACGCAGCGGGGACCTTACATGCAAGGCCTTCTTCTTATTTCTTAAATGATGTCTACTGATGGAATGTTATCATATAAACCTATGCTAGGATAACTCCTCTTTATTTTAAATACATAATCTTTGCAAAATACGATTTCTCTCGGGAAATATTGTGCATGCGCGCACCGTGTTATGCGCTGCTAATATAGCTTGCTGCGGGGAAGAGGGGATGGGAGACTGAGGAAAGGCGGCAGGAAAGATAGCTGGGGCAGTAGAAGAAGAAGGAGGCTGAGCGAGGGACAGGGGAGGCAAGGAGAAGGACGCGAGGGCATAAAGTAGGTGTTTTGTACCCTACATACTAGGGCGCTCTCCTAATTATAAACACAGGTCTACTGATAAATGTTTATTAGGGAAATCTATGCTGAGATACCACCTAACCATTTTAAATGCATATTAATCACAAAATATAACTCTTCTGGTGAAATATTGCGCATGCGCTAACACACTAACGTAGCCAGATTGTGTACTGGCTGGTATACGCAGCGCAGGCGACAGATATCCACATCCAAGTGTGGCTTTAGGCCACCTCGTCCCCCGCCGGTGGCCTCCAGCCCCCGTCAGCTCACTCCGTCTATAACCCTTCCGCGAACGATAATAGTTATTTTTCTTTACGTATTTTAGTAAAGCTAAAACAAGCTACCATCGTATATTTCGATTGTATTACCCATAGGCATAGATATAGCAATAAATTGGAAAAACAAGACAAGCGCCAGTGCAGCACTCGGTAAGTTATTAGTAGCACGTTATAGTGTTGCCGGCGTTATATTTGTATGACGGGGGCGTAAGGCCATCTCTATAGAATTGTAATAATATAGTGTATATGATGGGTCCCAAGACCACATATATAGTATTGTTATGACGGGGGCCTAAAGCCACCTATATAGAATTATAATAATAGAATAGTGTATGATGGGGGCCCAAGGCCACATATATAGTATTTGTATGATGGGGGCCTACGACCACATAATAGTATTGTAATAATAGTGTATGCTGGGGGCCCAAGGCAGGGCCGGCGGAAGCAAATAAACATCAAATGGTCAGGCTATTTAGCATCAATGGGTGCCCACGGCGCAGCCGTGGCGGGGGCGCTCTAGGGTGGTTTCCCCCTCGTCAAAGGGGGGTTTGGGGGTTCTCCCCCAAGAAATTTTAAAAATTTAAGACACCAAGATGCCTTTTTAGAGCTTAAAAATACTTTTCAAAACTAAGATGGAGAGAGATCAATCGATCAAATCGATAGATGCACACTGCGGATCGCAGTGGAAAAGGTTGTAAATTTGCCAAAGATGAAGGCAGGGAATTCCAATATATACGGAATCACAGAAACAAAGAAGCATTCTAGGTTATCTATATTATTTCTATGGATAAAACCAAGGCCTATAAATAAACAATTGATTTCTTGGATAGAACCATAGATATAGAATACTGTATTATATATCTCGGATAGAACCTATGGATAGAACCAACGAAAGTTATTCAGCATTCTATTTTTTTTGCCTTGAGGTGGCGCTGTCCTCGCTTGCGACTAGCAGATGAAATATGGCGGACAACAACAATCATGAGCAGCTGATTTCTCAGTTTATTGGTGTTACCGGCGTTGATAATGCCAGAGCGATGTTTTATTTGGAATCGTCCGGTTGGCAACTTGAGGTTTACTTCATACTTGTTCACCACAATATTAAAATTTAATGAATTTAGTTACACTCTCTTAGTGTCATACTCATAGTGACTCTTCTTTCATCCACTGCAAACCCGGCATGATGATGAGTCGACGGAATACACAATAGTCAATATCATGAATATGTATACGGAGTTGCTGGAGGTACGGCAGCCGTCGTTCGTTGAATCCACATTTTGGCGTTTGTTTGAGGGCTGAGACAATTATTTACGATCTTCTGAAGTAAAGTTTACAATAATGTTCACTTTCATACCTAATCCTAGATACAATAATGTAACCCAAACCCAGGAGGATAGGGTTACAAAGCGCCCGTATGGTTTTGTGCGGAGGAACGCCTGAGTGAATCACTCGGGTCAGTTTGCTGGTGCGTTTTCAGAGACTAGAACTTTCAAACTGGGTTTATTCTAAACACGAACCTTTCTCCGCTATCCGGGAACTTACTAATACTATGTATCGCAATACTCTGTATTAAACTAATATAACCTGTTACAAAAATTCGAAGTGACGAGCGGCGAATATACTGAGCGCCATTTCTGATGACCTGTGACGTACTTCGGTTTGAAGAGCGGATTCACCGACCAATCGGAGGGCGCTGCGTTTGCCGATCGCTATGCGCATTGAGAATGCGTACGTCACAGGTCAACAGAAATGGCGCTCAGTATATTCGCCGCTCGTCACTTCGAATTTTTGTAACAGGTTATATTAGTTTAATAGAGTATTGCGATACATAGTAAGTTCCCGGATAGCAGAGAAAGGTTCGTGTTTAGAATAAACCCAGTTTGGAAGTTCTAGTTTCTGAAAACGCACCAGCAAACCGCCCTGAGTGATTCACTCAGGCGTTCCTCCGCACAAAACCATACGGACGCTTTGTAACCCTATCCTCCTGGGTTTGGGTTACATTATTGTATCTAACCTAATCCCAGTAATCGGTAATCCGAGTCAGTGTTTTCTAGCTCATCAAAACTCTCAAAACGTGAATATATTTCCCAAGGCATTATTTTGAAATCTGTCGCCATCTTTGTCTCGTTTGTATGAAAGCGAATGGACTGCCGTACCCCCAGCCTCGTAAATTGGAGATACAGCTGCCGTACCTCCAGCTACTGCCATATCAAGAGCCCATTAACCCCAGAGTGTACAATGCTGAAATAGGAAAACCATGGTGTCGTTTCAGCAAAATTAATAAAGTTTACCTACTTTATTTTGATACTTCACTACCGGAATATTATGCAGGAGTCATAGCTAGCCAATATAAGATCAACCGCTTGTCTCTACGATGTTCCTATGCCGAGATATACAGGGTTCGTAGCGGGTCTTCCAAAGTCTTATAAGTACTTATTTTGCCAAAAATAAAATAAGGGCCTTTATTAGTACTTATTTTTGGTGAAATCTTCGAAAAGTACTTAATAGTCTTTATTTTTTGCGAAAGGACCATTTTTCAACATTGTTTTATAAACTGTTCTCGACTTAGAGTAAGAATTGTTGTATATGTAATACGGAATAATTAAATCTGCTGTGCAATTGTGTATATAAATATTATTAGTGTACTTTAATAGTTGGTGATAGATCTATCAGAAATCGCGTAAAAAAGTCTTATTTTGGCCTCCAGAAAGGGTCTTATAAGTCCTTATTTCAACATGTGTCTTACTACTATGAACCCTGTTATAAAGCGATAAAAATCGAGTACTTCTAGGTAATCCTAGCGCCATATGACTCAGTAACATGCTTCTCGCGCATTTAGTAACCGCATAGATATATACAACACATGGTAATACAACACATGGTAAGTTAGCACGTTGTATATATCTATGCAGTCACTAAACGCGCGAGAGGCGTGTTACTGGGTCATATGGCGCTAGGATTACCTAGAAGTACTCGATTTTTATCGCTTTATATCTCGGCATAGGAACATCGTAGAGACAAGCGGTTGATCTTATATTGGCTAGCTATGACTCCTGCATAATATTCCGGTAGAGAAGTATCAAAATAAGGTAGGTAAACTTTATGCAGAGAAGATAGCTAAGGGCGGTAGAAGAAGAAGGAGGCTGAGCGAGGGACAGGGGAGGCAAGGGGAAGGACGCGAGGGCATAAAGTAAGTGTTTTGTACCCTACATGCTAAGGCGCTCTCCTAATTATAAACACAGATCTACTGATAAAGGTTTATTAGGGAAATATATGCTGAGATATCCCCTAACCATTTTAAATGTATATTCATCACAAAATATAACTCCTCCAGTGAGATATTGCGTATGCGCTAATATACACTAACGTAGCCAGATTGTGTACTGGCTGGTATACGCAGCGGGGACCTAACATGCAAGGTCTTCCTCTTATTTCTTAAATGATGTTTACAGCTGGAATGTTATCATATAAATCTATCCTAGGATAGCTCCTCTTGTTTTGCACCCTACATGCTAGGGCGCTCTCCTAATTATAAACACAGGTCTACTGATAAAAGTTTATTAGGGAAATCTATGCTGGGATATCCCCTAACCATTTTAAATGTATATATTCATCACAAAATATAACAACTCTGGTGAGATATTGCGCATGCGCGAACACACTAGCGCAGCCAGCTTGTGTATTGGCTGGAAAACGCAGCGGGGACCTTACATGCAAGGTCTTCCTCCTATTTCTTAAATGATGTCAACTGATAGAATGTTATCATATTAATCTATGCTAGGATAACTCCTCTTCATTTTAAATTCATAATATCTTTGCAAAATACGATTTCTCTCGAGGGATATTGCGCATGCGCGCGCACCGTGTTAGGCGTGCAGTGCCGTCTGCGGCAAACTTCATAATATAGCTTGCTTAAGCGGTTGATCTTATATTGGCTAGCTATGACTCCTGCATAATATTCCGGTAGAGAAGTATCAAAATAAGGTAGGTAAACTTTATTAATTTTGCTGAAACGACACCATGGTTTTCCTATTTCAGCGTTGTACGCTCTGGGGTTAATGGGCTCTTGGCCATATGTATAATAATATATATACTATATAGTTATCTGTTACTACTAGTACTGCATTCCCCGCGTAGCGTACGAAGCTTGCATTTTATTTTCGAGAAATACTGGTAGTGGTTGTTTACTTGTTATAATTTGATGTTACACTTACAGCCACACTGTCACTGACAGTGAAAAAAATACACGGGGGCTCGGGGCGATTTAACCCCGAAATGGCAAAAAGAGCCCCGGAAATGCCAAAAAGAGCCCCCGGAAATTTGCATAGAGTTCAATGCAAACCAAATTTTAGAGTGCTATTTTCATGCACGCGAGCTTGAAAAGTAGCCCCAGAAAAATAAATTAAAATTTTTTCCCTGGTCACTGATGTTACGTGATGATGTATAATTGTATTGACATCGCAGTGCCGTCTTCAAAACAAAAGATTCCTTCAAGTTTAGCATTTTCATTTCTGTCATTTCATATTAGAATTCTCGTCCTCTTCTGATTTACTAGGAAATTTTTTTACAATCTGCATTGTTGATCTATCCATTTTATTAACTTTGACTCCTGGTATAACTATAATCCCTCAAACTTGAAAAAATAATCCTTATACGAAGTAATTGTTTAATTTGTTATGTGGTTACATTATATTTTGTCAGGCTGGTGCCCTAATACGTTTCAGAACTGTTTTTATTATATGCCATATGACATAATACTGCTGCATGTGTCTCTTAGAATTATTATGACAGGGTCAATGTTGGTTTGGCTCAACTTAATTGGTCTTGTCTTCGCATCCGCTTTACAAGATCTGTCATCATCGTCTGGCGAAGATTAGTATTCCCTCTTATTTTATAAACCATATTTATAGTACTTAATTATCCGATTCAGATCGATGCTTTCATCATGTATCATCTTCAAGGGATCCCTTTGAGATTACTTTTTTTTTCGTATTTTGCATACAATATTGGAATTCTCTTCCTTTTCTGTGGTTAATTGTAAAATTGAGACTTCTACTGCAATCTACAGTGCTGATCTGCTGATTTGATCAACGTTGATCCCGATCTTTGCCCCTGTCTCTGAAGACTATTTCTTAAGAGGTTACATTGTCAATCGAATTGCTCACAGTGCTGGCAACTGAACTTGGTTTTAACATCCTATTAAAATAAATAATAAAGTCATACGTTAGTACCCCAGTTATTAGTTGCTAGAAGAATCACAAATACTTATGTCTGTCATAGGTATAAATTAGCATAACCTGTGCAGAACACTTCATGTGCAAAAGTTATGAGAGATTATGATGCAAGCTTGTTTAATTTATGACATAGATTACTGTGTGAACATAATCTAACAGAAGCTATTATTAGATGTATTGAAATACAAATCAGCATATCCCCATCATTGAGACATTTATACATGTTTTTCCTATTGTTTATTTTGACTAGGTTGCAATGGCAAGTTTTTATGACAATGACCATGGTGCCTATGATGACAGCTCCTCCCCTATACTAGTAGAAGATGATGACCCACCTCCAGTCCCGGTGCGAGATCAGTCATCTCTAGCTGCAGTGGGGCCAACATCAAAACCTACGAAAAGTCAACCATCACGGTACCAGCTGCAGCTTTAACCACTTATTCTAGTAAAAGTATTGCAGCTTGACGGATGATTGGTCGCATGCCTGACATACAAATATTTGTTATTATATATATACAATATATTTGATACTCCTGGTTGTATTCAGGGTTTGACATCAAGGGTGGGAAGCAGTAGTTTTGCAGCTTACAAGGAGTCAGTTTGGTGCCTGCCCTCAGTTTGGGCAGAAAATACTTGCTGCTAAGAAATTCCTATTAAACAAAAGCAACAAAAAGGCAGTAGGACAGTATTGTTGGGGGTGGGAGAGAGTGGAACTATTGTGGGTTTCTCATTTATTCTCTGTTTGTAGATTTAGTACATTGTCAGACCTGCAAAGAGAGGAGCAGCCATCTGACGATGAGGAAGGGCAGGAGTTCTATGCTGGCGGAAGTGAGAAGGGTGGAAGGTTTGTATGTTGGATAGTGACCTATCTCATGAAGGCTTATATACTATAAAATATATTATGTCTAAATGGTATTGCATATATTTATATTATAACCGGGTTCTTCCCAGGCTGTTAACGCATGTCGAGTCTGACGTGCTTTCAAAGCTGAAGCTAATTGGCGACATATCCTATAAATCGTCTGCTATGCCTAATCAGCATACCTTATTTTCGAGCTGTGTTTACAGTTTTGATCATCCCAACACAGTCATTATGCGTTTTCAAAGCTTGATGTATACATCTCTGAACTGATTAAGTTTGCCTGTGTATTGGTGCCAATTATGACACATTATTCATAGTAATTAGCAACATGATGAATTCCCTGACTTCTCACCATCTTTTTGAAATTCCTGGGGATAACTCTGTATAGATATGTTCATGTCTTATTGATATTTACTGAATGTTATCAAAGTTAGGTAGATGTGTAATGGTATTACTAGTACACATTCTACTATAGGCTGCCATCCAATTATATGCATCGATAATTTTGTACTGGTAATGATAAATTAGTATTGTATCAGGAGTGAATAATAATAGATTATAAGCTGTAGATCATAGATAATATCTTATGATCTTAGATTATAGCAGGAGTGAATAATAGAGAGGAAATCATTTGCAACCTGTAAGCTAACAAGAGGCAGTTTTCATATCTGTTAGCAGGGTTCGGCGGGGATTACTATATATATATCCGTATTAGTAGCGACCCCCGCACACCCGCACGCCCACCGCAACGGCACTGCAATGGTGAGTGGTGTGAGCGGCTAGTTTTTGTAAAAGCAAGTCGATATATATACAGTGACACAACTCTAGTGGAAGTGTAATAAACGGGTAGTTTTTGTGAATGTTTTTACTGACTCTGTCCCAAGTGGCTGTGACTGGGACTGCCACTGGTGTGCTCAGCCTAACTGTGGTCTCTGACTATTGATTTTCTTTTCTCAGCCAGCCTCGACGACCGTCTCAGTGTTGTTACCTGCACCAAGGAGGTTATGTTTTCGCCGCTGTTAGTTGGTTTGTTGATTTGTCTGTCAACAGGATATCTAAAAAAGTTCTGGAATCTGTATCTGCACTAGCCGTGCCGCGGGTTAGATCCAGTGTTCGGAGCTGGTTGCGAGTTGCAAATCCCCGCCAAACCCCACCAACGGGTATCTCAGAGAAAGCTGCCTCTTGTTGGAATTACAGGTTGCGTATGATCGCCACTTAGCGGTATTTATTAGTGAAACCACGTCTGATGTTCGAAGCTATAACTACATAATAAGAAAAGGTATCGATACACAGTAAAGTGTGAGAACAAGTTGGATGTTCAGCGCTAATTCCGATGTCATTTTGATTGGATTTCACGTAATCAATCATTGGTAAATATGGGCATGGAAATGTTGAATTCTTGTGTTTCGAGTCTGTCATACCTCTTAGCGGTATTTATTAGTGAAACCACGTCTGACGTTCGAAGCTGTAACTACATAATAAGAAGAGGTATCGATACACAGTAAAGTGTGAGGAGAAGTTGGATGTTCAGCGCTAATTCTGATGTCATTTTTATTGGATTTTACGTAATCAATCCTAGGTAAATATGGGCATGGAAATGTTGAATTTCTTGTGTATCGAGCCTGTTATACTTCTCTCTATTATTCAGTCCTGATTATATCTTATGATGATAATATGATTGATGATCTCATGATGATATCTTATGATCTATAGATAATAGATAATAATCTATTATTATTATTTACTCTTGATGGAATCCTATAGTGGAGAGGTTGTGATCGGCCCAGGAAGGAAGAAGAAGAAAAGTGATGCCATTGTTCAAGGAATTTTTCAAGCAGCAAAGGAGTAAGAATTTATAATAATCTTTCAGTTGTTTCTCTCTTTCTTACAATTTGCAAGTAAAATAAGTAGAGTTTATACTAAATATAGCACATTAACTAACATACGAACATACATTACACATGTCATGATGTTGTTGCAATAGTACATTTCAGTGCATCATCCTCATATATAAATATATATCCAATGTTCCATATATTTCAAACTTCTAGACATGGTGCTGAGGTTGTTGATGAAGAGGAAAGTCCATCCAGAAGGCATAAAACAAGTTTCCAAGGAGCAGGTTATAGACTAGGTATGCCATGATCGAAATCGGTCATTATAACGCCATAGTATATGGCTATCTAATCTGCACTGTTGACATATAATACAGTAATTGACTCCTCGTGTTGTGTATAATTATATAATCTTACCACTAAACTTGTATTAGTTTTTCCAATTTCACTACCGGTACCGGTTGCTTTCCAAATCAGACTGAATGTTGTTTGTCAACAAGTGAACTGATAATTTGGGGGCGAATCTTTAACCAGCTGCAAGCCTAAAACAATGCTGTGATCACATGACATTACTAGTGGGAGTATTAAAGATGTTTATCCTATATGTTATGACTGAGTAAACACCAAGCACACATTTGGCCTAGCTTGCCCAGGGCAGAAATCTGACACACCTGCTCCAGTGATTGCAATATGAAATTTAAACAACTGCTGATGAATGCGTATGATTTTCAATTAGGCTTTTTAGCTCATCTGACATAGTCAGATGCAGCTTGTAGATCGCATGATCGTCCGTGCGTCCGTCCGTGCGTCCGTCAACGTTGGGCACAAATCTTAACCGCTCGACGTACGGTCACGATATTCGCGGACGTGGGGGGTAATCCGAAACGAGTTGGGATGTCGAAGCTGGGGTCAAGGTCAAAGGTCAAGAGGTGTCAAATAAGGGGGAACATTCACTCCTTAACTTAAGGTATAGGGAGGAAATGCAGAATTGCGGCACAAATCTAAACGGCTCGACCTAGGCTCGTGATAGTCGGTGTATAGCATCATGGTAGGAAAAGCCATCACTGCTGCAAAATTGGAGGTCACAGGTCAAAGGTCAATGGGGCACAGGGCAGATTTTTAGACATTTTCTGAGGACATGGTCTGACGGAGTGATTTGAAAAACTTTTTTGCTTCAGCGGTGACCTAGCAATTTTTATGGCTTATTGAAAGGACCATGAAATGTCCCTTCTGCTGACATGCGAAGAGTAAGTGTCGGATAACCTTTTGACCTCAAGAGGAGGGTTAAACATGGATTTGTTAACTGTTACTGTGTTAGAAAGAATTTGACTGCCGGGTTTGCTAGTAGAATCTATACATGCCTGGATGTATGAGGCTACAATGTCACAGTGAAATTTCAAAAGCTAAATTTGGTTAAAGAAGGTGTATGTTCCTTAAATCGTATAATTTCGATGTCATTCTGTACTGTCAGTATGTTACATGTAACGTATGCCACTGCCAGTGGCTTGCCAGTGCATGTGTTGGTGCAGTTTTTGCCTGCGTTAATTGCTTACAGGTGGCAGCTCTCTATTGCAATTTGCAGCCTGTAGGCTTGCGTAGGTAAATGGATGAGTGCTTACCTATTCTGTCTTGCAATAGTTGTTGCTACTACGTATGATGGAGCTTCCATCTTTAATCTGAAGACACTTAAACGTACGCGCCATCTCGTGGCAACTTTCATAACGATCCTCAACGAACATTCTTTTGAGAAGGTTCCTGATACCATCCCTGTGCATTCCACTGTTTCGGCGTGTATGTGAACACATTTGGGGCTAACAGGGTTTACTAGAATCCCACCACTCCACCACAGAGTCACCGCAGTAGAGGTTAGATGAGCGCTGTCGCTCTGCGGCACTTGTTTACAATAGGCCTAACCAGCAGTGAAGTTAGATAAACTAATGTGAATTTTTGAGGCAAGGTTACATACTTTTAAATGACACAATGTGTTAGTTCTTCTAGTATTCATCAACATCGTGGATTAGATATATAGACATATTAGGGTTTTAAGTGATAACAATGCCTGTTTTTGTGAAGTGCTGTATCACTTATGCATTCACTTATAAAATGTCTTGAAATTCTGCCTAGTAAAATGCCAATATAATGAGTAGTAGTGTAAAGATCGAAGGTTCTTAATAGTAAGTACAGATGTGTACCGTACCTAGTCAGTCTTGTGTAAGATGTGAATAAAGTACATCCAATAAACAGCCAACTGTCTGGCATTAGTTCCCCCTCTATTCTCTCTTTAGGGAACTGGGTGAGAAAGCAAAACTCCTGCAACCTTACTCTATTAATCATTGGCCTGATCAACAATGGTGGGACGATGTAGCCTATGGGCTCTTGTCTACAATGGATTGGACTCATGGTCTTATATATTCTTTGACTATGGATTGTGCAGTACTAAGTTTTGCATGGGCATCAATCCATAATCGCCTTAATCTAGATATTGCAACTAAAACGTTCATTATTTTGATCAATCGTGAGCTGATATAAGCTTTGTGTGCGATAACAGGTTCGGAAGATGGCAGCAGCAGCAGTCAGCAGGTGCAAGCTGCTACACCAGCTGTGCCAAAGGAAAGGCAAGTCGAGGTTGTACTAAAATTGTGGAAGGATGGCTTTAGTGTAAACGATGGAAACTTGAGGGACTACAATGATCCTGAAAACAAAGACTTCCTTGATTCCATCCACAGAGGGTAATTACTCGTAGTGCTATTCTGTAGTAGGTACATATGAATTGTTCAGCATGACATGACATTTTTATTTGCTTGCCTGTTTAATACAATTATTGCCCCTTGGGAGGACAGCATAGAGTTCTGTGTGTTAAGAAACTCGGTATTACCCTAAACGCTTAAACCAGGGGCCCAGGCTTTTATTGTCTGAGAGCAATTGTGCGTATGTGTGTGGGTAAGGGTAATTATCCGAAAGTAATTGACGGGGGGGGGGGGGTTGTCTACGGGCTACATATCCTGATTCCTTATGTATGTGTATAGATGTTTTTCCTAGTCTCTCAGGCTTGCTGAAATTATTGCTAGTCATTTGCTGTGTTAAAGTTATTACGTCACCTTAAATAGTAAAAGTAAAAAAATTATGTTCCACGTTTCCACAAAATGTAAGTGATTCTGTTCACCTTTTATGGTTAAATTGCTGCATTATACTTCCTCTTTTGCTATTCCGTTCGATGTGAACAAACACTCGTGACTCATACATAGCCCATAGCAGACATTTAAGGCCGTGATCAATATATCAAATCGCCCAGTTTTTTGGATTTTTAACTAGTTGAAAAACAATCTTATCAGGTAAGAATTTGAGGATACATTTAAGCCGCATTCACACAGACGTTTTTAGCCCGAGCCTAATTAGGCCCGCGCCAAATTTGGCTCGAGCCGAGCGTTCACACGGACGGTTTTTCGGGGCGTGCCAATTTGGTCCCATCGAAAACGTCGGACCAGGCCCGAGCCAAATTTTAGCACAAAAATTGCAGCAAAGCAAAAAGCAAAATAGCAGCTAAATCGGTTGATCGGTAGATGCCGCGAGTGTCGAACGTGTACTTCGACGAAATAAAGTCCAAAACAGTATAAAAATTCGAAAAATTTGATCAGGATGCACGTTTTCAAGATTGATAATTGGACTCGGAACGGAAGTAAACACTGAATCGTACACAACGCCATCTCGCGACATACTGCCAAAGTATCTGTGAGATATTTGTGCAATAAAATTTATTTGAATTTGAGAGACAGTATTCACTTGCGTACGTGTGAACGCTCCGACTCAAACCGGCCCTAGCCAAATTTAGCCCATTTGGCTCGAGCCAAACCATGACCGTGTGAACGCGGTATATGTGGCGTTAGTCATTAGTACTTTTCATGTAAACAAAATTGTAATTTTTTTAAACAAATATACACCATAGAAAATTCGTGATGTAGTCAATTGAATTGATCTGCTGTTTGAATCAGGGAGATTCCCCTTGAGCTAATAAGGTTGGCACCTGGTGGAGAAGTAAATCTCAACATGGAAGATCACAGACATGAAGACTATGTGCAACCCAAGAGAAGTGTCAGGGCATTTCAAGGGGCAGGACACATGCTTGGGAGGTAAGATTAAAAGTGAGGGTGGTACGTATTGGGGAGCATAAGTTTCAGAATGACAAACACCTGTTGTTGAAGTTAAATTCATGGTAAGGTACACACGTTGAGGGTGATACACTGATAGGATTGAGAGGAAATGATACATTTGGAGGAAAGATTAAACAGAAGTGATATATACAGTGCAGAGATAATTTTAGTCTTGGGAGGCACAGGTGTAGATGTTGCATAATTTGAGTGGCATAACCAGGTAAAGTAGGTTTTGTGTAAGAAACATGGCAAAGGGATGAGAAAGATGACTGCAGATGACACTGTGTCTTTGTAGCCCAGTACCAAATGTAGTGACAGCGACGCACCAACAGCCATCATCTGCAGAGAAAAAACAGGCTGACCAGCCTAAAGCGGCAGTTGGTGTTAAGCTGGACACGTCTCAACCCGTCACAAGCCTCCAGATTAGACTGGCAGATGGATCAAGGTTAGAGAAATGCATTCATTGGTTTACGCAATAACAGTCAAACAATATCGAGAATTTCCTAGTGCTGTGGTTCGATATATTTGCCAGCATGGCAAGATATTTTGGTGATTGTCGACACACGAATATGTAACTAAAAAACAAGTTAACATAATTTATATTTGTTGAAACTTTCGTTGTTTCAGACTTGTGCAGAAGTTCAACCACACCCACACAGTTGGAGACATCAGGCTGTTTATTAATTCGTATCCTTGTTACCTATTTAGAATATTCACAAATTAATCAAATTCAAAGCGGTTATAGCAATAGTACTCGTGGTGAGTGAACTGTCGTGTTAGCCACGGATAGAGACTGTTAGCATTAGTCATGGTTAGTGGGCAGTAATTGTGGTGTTCACAAAGGGATTAAACAGATTCAGATGAACAGTGTCTTCATTTCAAACGTCCAACATGGAAACTTGCTGCCCCGGAAACTGTTTCATTACTTCCTTTCTCGATAGGTGGCAGCACAAATACAGTATCCTCAACACATAAGCTGATCCAATTCATATGCCAATATTGCGATATAGTAAAGACATTACAGTAATGTTGCTTTGCCTTAACGAGCTGTTACACATTTAATAGCGCGACCAGAGATGGCTATGTGAATGAACTGTCGTGTTCGCCACGATTAGAGACATCTAGCGTTAGCCGTGGTTAGTGGGCAGTAATGTTGCTTTGCCTTAACGAGCTGTTATGCATTTAAGAGCGCGACCAGAGATGGCGATGTCTGCGTACGTACTGCAGACGACCTTCCCGAACAAGGAGCTCGCCGAGCCATCGGTGACGCTGGCTGCTGCCGGCCTGCTCAACGCCGTCATTGTACAGCGAAAAGTCGTCTGATGAGCCGGTTGGATCTCCTGCTCAAGCAAAGCTTGTATTTATTGTCCGCCGCCGCCACTGCACGGCCTTGCCTGTGGTGAGGCATACTGTGAGCAGTGTGTCGACTTGAGAGGCAGTCGCAGCAACGCAGTCGATGATAGTATGACTTGTGGCAGTCTTGTCATTTGGTTTTGTCTGCCATGTTTATTCTCGAGTTTGGCGGAACTTGAATTAGCTGTGTCTCGCTTATGTATATCGGAGATAGAGACACTGTAAATTGAATCACATACCAGCTTGTGCTTGAGGAAGCGTTGCATCAAGATATACAAGAGCGCAGCTAATCGTGGGCTTATTGACTTTGTGATTTAGCTGAACAATGTTTGCTCTGACTGCATTCGTGCATCTTAACTTCATCTTTTCATTCTTTGTCTGCACTTTCTCAGCTTAAATTCTGGATACAACTAATATTTGCATGAATCATTTATAGTGGAGATACTCAATCTGAGAGTGGGCTGAACTCAATTGAAATTAAACAGTATGTTTAGCACAAATGATGAAAATATTGTATCTGTGAAGTTGTTGTGCCATACAATACATTTAACTGGATGCATATAAATGAGCCACCTAACAAGATAAATACACCATTACAGGGGAAGCCTTGTAATTTATAGCTGCGTTTTCCTTAATTTCTTAGTTGTAGTAGTCACTTTTAAAGTACAATTCTTTAAAAGTGAAAATTTCAATTTCAAGAAAATCTGTTCTTTGATATATACACTATACATACACATACACGAGTGAGAGAGGTGAGAGAGCAACAGACAGAGAGAGCGAGAGAGACGAGACACGGAGACAGAGAGAAAGAGGAGAGAGAGAGAGAGAGACAGACACAGAGAGAGAGAGAGAGAGAGAGAGAGAGAGACACAGAGAGAGAGAGAGAGACAGACAGAGAGAGAGAGAGAGAGACAGACAGAGAGAGAGAGAGAGACCGACACACTGAGAGAGAGAGAGAGAGAGACCGACACACTGGGGGAGAGAGAGAGAGAGAGAGAGAGACCGACGCACTGGGAGAGAGAGAGAGAGAGAGAGACCCACATCACTGGGAGAGAGAGAGAGAGAGAGAGAAACCGACGCACTGGGAGAGAGAGAGAGACCGACACACTGGGAGAGAGAGAGAGACCGACACACTGGGAGAGAGAGAGAGAGAGACCGACGCACTGGGAGAGAGAGAGAGAGAGACCGACACACTAGGAGAGAGAGAGAGAGAGAGACAGACATACAGAGAGAGAAATAGGAGAGTTGAGATAGGGGAAAGAGAAAGACACAGAGAGAGACCTTACTCACTTTCTACATATCAGACGGTATGACTATTGTCATGATCCCATAGTAGAACAATGAACGAACCAATTTAAATGTCATAATTAAAAAATCTCCGTTAATTAAGAATTCTTTCTCATTGCATTGAATTTACCTGACGACTTTACATGACGATTTATGATGATAATTCATCACTGTCATGGGGGACGTCCTGCTAGTGTTTACGTTATGCTAGCTGTTTATTTGTAACCTTATGAGTATGCGTTCGGAATGTATTCTGAAAATAAATGTACTGTTGGTACGAATATGATGTTTGTCCGTCAATTCCTATCAGCATTTAACGACGGGACACAAATATCCACTGCACTTCATCTCAATTGCTAGATTGCTTTCTTCTATATGTGAACTATAATGCGCGTTAGACATCCGCAAATTCGTCACACGATGTCACAGAATTGGAACATTCCAATAGAAAACCTGCTAGTCTTCGATTTCACCTTGAATGAATAGAGTGACAAGTACTCATGATGCAATAGTTGTCATCGCAGTGTCAGTAGCAGGGATGTCCACGTCATGTACCTGCAGTCATGACATCAAAAATCGATTGCGACTAGTACATAATTTATTAGCAATAAATGTACATACACGTTTCTTTGTACTGTGCTGGTGAGCAAAACCCATTGACACAACCACGTACAAAATGTAAAAAGTTACACTCATTATAAAACCCTCATTAACATTCATGATTTCATCATCACATGCAACCAATAATGCAACACTAATAGCATGAACGTATGTTTACTTGCACAGACGTTAAAATAGACGTATACTCATGCTACTATTAGTGATGCATTTTGATACGACGTAATATTGTGATGCAGGTTGAGTAATAATATTGATTAACCAAAAAGTCTCCACGACGCATATTGAGTGTGCGCGTTATTGATACTGCAGCTGAGAGGGTCTATGTCCCCCGGGGTACTGCCGGAACGTACCCTGGTACTATATCTAATATGCCGGACCGTACCTCGCCTACTCCACTAACGAGTCTAGGGAGTCGCCTACGCCTACTCCCTAACCCTAACCCTAATCCTAACCCTAATCCTAACCCTAACCATAGCAAATAGTGACCAGGGTACGTTCCGGTATACCGGACCGTAACCAGGGTACGTACCGGCAGTACCCTAGGGGACATAGACCCTATGAGCGATACTGCAATAGCGACTGTCGGCAAAGCAGTGGTTTGCTACAGCGTTAACAGCGCAGAGGGCTAGGCCAAGCATACACTTGCACAAAGTACATATGCTAGGAAAACCAGGAAATCAGACATTCGTGATAAATTATATATAATTACCTCCATTTTCAGAACGACGATTCTGGATTATGTCCATATAGATCAAATGCAAATACAACATTTGAAGCCTTTTTGATTTGCCCCCACTAATGTACCAAAGCAGAATCCCAGAGACCTTAAGCCCGGCGCACACGTGAGTTATTTTACTCAAATAAAATGACGCACGAGTCATTTTACTCACGTGTGCGGCGGATTTTCGTTGAGTAATTTGACGCATGCGTCATTTTACTCACGTGTGCGGCGGATTTTCGTTGAGTAATTTGACTCATGCGTCATTTTACTTGAGTAAAATAACTCACGTGTGCGCCAGGCTTAACAAATGAGCAAGGTAAAATGTGAATTTTATGATTCTCCCACCTGCTGACCTTTGATCCTTCACCTCCATACTGCGGTGTTTTTTACCATGACCCCCATATCCGTCTAGTATAAAAATGCTAGACGTGTTAGCCTCGGTATTTAGTGATGCTATTTTGATTTGTACCATTGTTACCAACAAACACATTACATACGCTGAAAGAAAGGGAATACAGTATAAAGCGTTTATCACATTAGAAACCACAACACCCAAACATTCGACGTATTACAAAGCGGATAAATTATGTACCAAATAAAGAGAGACAAAAACTAAACCCGTCTGACGAAATAACAGCTCCATACTATACAAGCACTGCTGGTGGGATGTATTCAAAGAATATTACTTGTAAAAATAAAATGGTAATCACTTACTGAAGGTTAATTTGTAGTTTAACTTAAGGCAAAAATTCCGAGAAAACAATAATCACCCGTTATTGTATTTGTTATAATAATACAGTGACACAAGGCAGAAAGTGCCACACGGTGAGCTCTGACTATGATTTATGCAAAGTGACCCTATCGTCTGTATAAGAGGCTATTGAACTGCTAATCAATCCATGGTTCCAAGGTAAAAGGCCTATAAATATGCACATGAACATATATATAATATATATTTTATTATATATATATATTATATATGAAGAGACCAGAATTCTTGCTCAAGCTTGCATGTTTGCTCATGTACGCACGCACACACTCACAGACACTCATACACGTAATCTGTGCATGTCTGATCATGTTTGTGCTCGTGTTTGTTTGTGTGTGCGTGCGTGCGTGCGTGTGTCGTGTGTGTGTGAACAGAGGCCCGAACACTAGTCATCAAATGTTATTCCTCCTGGTCCCTGGTTCTTCATCCAGCGGCGATAACTCTTGTAGCGTGCACTTGATGCAAGTTTGATTCTCATTTCCTCACCCTTCTCTTTCTGCCATGCCTAAAACACAACAACGTGTTGTTCTTGGAATATTGTGAACGGATTTCATTTTAAAATATAAAGTAATTGCATTTTGACATAAATCCAAAATGTTTACTGGAGTGGAATATTTATTGGTGCCCCTGTAAAAATTTTTGATTTATCTGAAAGTTAAATTATTTTCCACAATAATATGTGTGCAGCAATTTCCTCCTTTTTACTAAGTGTAATTCTTAACATTCAATGACTGCAAATACCAAATCGATGAATAATGCCCAACGGTTTGTAAATGTAAATCGGACTATACCACAACACCATTTCCTTCCATCAAAATGGCATCAGGATAGATAACACAGCAGAAACCAACACAGATATTGCCACCTAAATTTATAAAGTGGTGCACGATTGAACTCTTTCGCTAGTCTCCACTCGGCTTCTGATAAAATTTGGTGTCTATACATAATGAGATTTCTTTCCCAAGAAAGGAAAAACTAATTAGTCTTGTTTTCAATACCTTAAACTTTTCCTTCTCCCATAACTGTCTCCGTAGATATTCCTCTCGTTCCCGCTCTGGAATGGCCTAGGATTACAACAATATGACAACAGCTTAATTATCTATATTGATTGATACATATATACATATATATAAGTAAAAACACACGAATACCCATGTAGATATCTTTTTTTGTCAGGCTATAAAATGACAACAGAATGGGTGTCATTTATGTATTGTGATTTTATAGCTTGATGAAGAGAGATAATTCTCAAAAGCTTGCTGAATAAAAACATTTAACATCCTATTCTATTTTGCTAAATTTATTATTATACATATATAATATGAGAGCGAGAAAGATAGGGAGGTGTAGAGAGAGAATGACAAAATATACAAGAGAGAAACAGAACGAGAAAGTGGGAGGGAGGAAAGGATGGAGGGGGAGAATAAGGGAAGGTGGAAGACAGACACTGTATAGGAAATATCAATACAAGTGAAATAGCTTGGTTTCTATGATACCTGAATGATCAAAAATGACTAGTATTAATACACATGGTCTGTAATAGTTAGTAGTAATAGTGGGGGACACAACAGTCAAAAAGACAAAATCTTAGTAGCAATTAAATCGTTAATCAATATTACTATGACTGTCCTTTATCCAATAAATTACGGATTATTTAAAATAATAAAAAACAATACTGCATGACAATGAATGTGAAATATCTACCATCGCCTTTCCTGCTATCAAATGAATAACGTGATGGTTTCACTTACTTCAAATTGTGTTTCACTCAATTTAAGATTCTTCCTGATGAGATATATCTTGGCATCTATATCATATGGCTCCTGCTTGACAGTAAATCGCCAAACCCAGTTCAGCCACCTTTGTGAAAAGCATAACAGATAACAGATTGTAGTGTAAAACTACTATGTATGCTCAATTATTAATATTTCTAATTGTAGCAGGCACACAAACATGAACAAGAACAATAAATAAAAGTTTCTTACCAGATAATATACTTTCCTATAGCATAGGGCAATAATATAATTTTCATCCATAAGACATCATAAATGCTTGGTCTTGCATAGCCACCTCTGGAAAAAATTTAATGATGTCATTTCCAGGGAAGAGAATAATAAATAAATCTTACATTAAGAGTAGAGACCATGGAAGATAAATGCAATATTAAACAAATATACAACAATGTTATATATAGCAAATGGTAACATCATAACTTTTTACTGTCGTCACGCATGGCAGTCACATGGAAGCAAAGAATTCTATTTTCGTCACAGAAACAACATGGAATTTTGTTTAAAAAAATCAGGAAAATGCCAGAGAGAAGTATTTTACATAGCAGATGCATGAAAGCACTGCATGAATGCAACCTGACTTTTTAATACTTGTGTCCACATCGTAAACTATTGATGACTACGACTTATTTCATAATTTATACTTTCATCAGTACTTTGATGATAATGAGAAAGTATGCATGATGGGAAATTTAGAAAATAAGAAAGGTTAATTGTTGTATTGTATGTGTAGGTTTGTTGCATTACACAAGTCAAGGAAAAAATATTGAAGTCAGAGAAAATCCAGGAAAAGGCAAATTCAATTATTTTGGGCATCCTGATTTGCATTTCTTATAAAAACCACGAATAAATACAAATTGGTTACTTAATATCCATGTTTCCCTCGACCACTCGCTTTATGATAGCTTCTTCCTCTTGTTTCACCTCTTCCTGGAACACGTAGGAATAATAACATTAGTGACAATATGCAGTACAGTTATGTTCTCTTCTTATTTACAACTTTTCTACTGTTACTTAAACATTTCTGGTTTATAAAGACATTTTAAACATGTACATCACATTCATCCATATGCAAGATGACTGAGTGACCAAAGCTGATTCTGATGTCATAGAATAGGATTACTTGCTCCACCAGTCCTGATATCATCAATGCATTTGTTACATTATGTTACCAGCATGTAGAATTCATAAATTTTATTAACCTTTGGTCTTCGTTTCTGCTTCTTCAGCTGATCGAATAAACCTTCCTCCTTCGCAATCTCTGATGCCTGGAACAGTTAATTATGGGTATTGCAACTTATACTCTAATTTACAGATATACTGTATATACACATGCATTTCAGAGTTGCACACCCAAAGCACAGGAACACACAAAGAGATACATGGATGCACGTTCACGCATGCACCCACAAACAAACACTCATCACAACATTATAGCACAGCTCTCACGCACACACCTCGACATTTTTCTAATATTTTCTTGGTGTAATACTATAATTAAAACAACGTCAACTCTGAGGTGCATACCCGGATACGATACTTGGGCACAGTGACTAGATAGTTGATTGCTGCATTGTACTTGTTCCAAGCACTCAGATACTGAAACAGAAGAAGAAAATAATTGCAACAAGAGCCGCAGAGCGTCTGGGCTCATCTGAGGTCTGTTGCTACGGTTATAAACGTAACATTTAAGTTGTGCGTAGTGACACCTTTGTTAGGCGCAGTTATGCAGATACGCAGTTGCGTACACATCATTTCAGCAACCTTCTGCATTCTGCATAACTCCCAAATCCCATTGGTTGATACAAATCGCGTGCCTGAAACTAATGTTTTATGGTGCATTGTGACCCTAACCCTATTAAAACAAAAACAAATCAAGGTAGGCCAGTGATTAGTGGACCGAATAAGCTCAAGAACGTACACATTTGCGTCTATATTGGTGCCAAAATTTGATGAGAAAATTAAGTCTGGGAAATCCACAGCCTCACTCCTGGGTAATTATTTGAGTGCTAGTGACTATTCCAACTATTCATAATGTACACTACAGAATCTCATATATAACTCATCTCATTATCTCCTAAGTAAGCATTGTTCAAGTAAGAGTTATGTGTGGAATTTCACTGTAAAATGGGAGCGTTCCACAACCACAGGTACTCGCCAACCCAGTTGAGAAACAAATCAATGTTTAACCCTCCTACAGGCTGCAATAGAGAGCTGCCACCTGTACCTAATTAACGCAGGCAAAAACTACACCATACTATCACCACCACATGCACTGGCAGTGGCCACTGGCAGTGGCATATTAACACACTGACAGTACAGAATGCCATAGAAATTATACGATTTAAGGAGCATAAACCTTCTTCAAGCAAATTTAGCTTTTGAAATTTCAGTGTGACATTGTAGCCTCATACATCCAGGCATGTATAGATTCTACTAGCAAACCCAGCAGTCAAATTCTTTCTAACACAGTAACAGTTAACAAATCCATGTTTAAATCCCTCCTCTTGAGGGTCAAAAGGTTATCAGACACTTACTCTTCGCACGTCAGTGGAAAGCACATTTCATGGTCCTTTCAATAAAGCCATAAAAATGGTAGGTCACCGCTGAAACAAAAAAGTTTTTCAATTGCTCTGTCAGACCATGTCCTCAGAAAATGTCTAAAATCTGCCCTGTGCCCATTGACCTTTGACCTGTGACCTCCAATTTCGGCACAGTGATGGCTTTTCCTACCATGATGCTATACACCGACTATCACAAGCCTAGGTCGAGCCGTTTAGATTTGTGCCGCAATTCTGCATTTCCTCCCTATACCTTAAGTTAAGGAGTGAATGTTCCCCCTTATTTTACACCTCTTGACCTTTGACCTTTGACCCCCAGCTTCGACATCCCAACTCGTTTTCGGATTACCCCCCCACGTCCCGAATATCGTGACCGTACGTCGAGCGGTTAAGATTTGTGCCCAACTGTTGACGGACGGACGCACGGACGGACGGACGCACGGACGCACGGACGGACGGACGCACGGACGGACGATCATGCGATTCTACAAGCTGCATCTGACTATGTCAGATGAGCTAAAAACTAAGCTTCATCATTTATATCATCAATACTGATGTGCATGCAATGTGTATAAAGCTGTACCTACAAGGAACTAAACAGCAATTTATTCATCACCTCATTGATAGTTTTGCATTAACATTGTGTTTAATTACCTGTGAGCTAATTAATGATTCTCCAGTTTTCTCACACAATCTGCAGTTAACTATAAAATATGATATGGCATTTTTACCTGTATAGCAGAAATAATTGTAATGGTCACAGCGATCACAACGCGCACATCAACTTTGGGAGCCACACGCCGTCTGTAGTATCTGTAGTAATGGCGGTACACAAGTTCTGAAATACATAATTTACACGATTAAAATTCACATACATCATTTGCACACGCGTTAAGTAAAAAATATTGGTTGTGAGCATACAGGAAGGAGAATAAACAAATTTATTTTCCTTAGAGTTATGATGCAGCATTTGTACTCTAACACACAGGGAGCAGATATGATACTACTTTAATATCAAAGACGACACATACTGAATCCTAAAGCCAACACGACTATATCCAGTTACATGTGTTTGAGCCAGATATCAGCAGTCAGTGATATATTTACTAATTGTATACATACTACTTAGTAATACAATTTTAGGAATAAGAAAAGAGTACCTGGATTATCAAGCATATAATCATAATCTTTTCTTTGTTCCTCATCTTTCAAAATCTGCAAAACCACATTTCATTTACCATTATAATTTGTTCACATGTCATTTACTGATGTACCAATTCATGACAGCTTCCATGAACCTATACATACAGGTTACGATGTTATAAGCAATGAAGATAAAGTAACTTCATTAAAAAATTACAGAATGATCACAAAAATGCTTGAAAATATTAATGGAACTATGCAGTGATTAAAGTGGAAATACGTGGATGGGGGACTAACATATCAACTGTGGGAGGAGGGGGGCTTGTAAATTCATCAGTGATCTGTAGCCGGCTATACTATTTTATTTTTATTTATTTATTAATTTAAAGACGGTACATTGGTACCAGATATATCAACATGAGCTTGCGAGCTCCTCACCGTTAGTGCAATAAGCAGTACTAGTAGCAGTGAAAAAAATACACGGGGGCTCGGGGCGATTTAGCCCCCGAAATGGCAAAAATAGCCACGGAAATGCCAAAAAGAGCCCTCGTAAATTTGCATAAAGTTCAATGCAAACCAAATTTTAGAGTGCTATTTTCATGCACGCGAGCTTGAAAAGTAGCCCCCCAAAAATAAAATTTTTCCCTGACTAGTAGCTATAGTGTACTTGCGAAACATTTTTGTGTGTTGTTTAGAGCTGACACCTCATATTAACAGGGTGATTGACCCCCATCCGGTTCCCTGTAACTCTGCGAGATAAGCCACACGTACATATGCAGGAAAGGATGTGCACTATATACATGTTTAATTGGCTATAGTCTATAGCCAATAAAACATGTTTAGGCAAGCAATATTTTAGACAGACTCAGCAAATAAAGCTAGAAACTCACATTTTTAGCACTAATCCATAATATTAAGCATACATACTCCAATGACCCTTGAACATACGCGTGTAAATACCAAGGGCTCCAAACAAGGCTATGCGACATCGTGCCATTTACACAGGTGAAGTATACTTATCACCCCACATATGGTACAGGGATATATACAAGGCATGCATTCCTGGCACAGTTTGAGTACCAATAGGTTGGCCAGACCACACTCCTGTAAAGGATTCTATGCACACCTGTAGCTAAGCTTCAAAAATTACGGAGGTAAGTTGGTTAGCCACAAGTGATTCTCTCTTCTTATCACTGGCAGTTCAGAGTTGGGACTCTTGGAGAAATATGTACAGTTTTATAGGCTATCTTAGCTACGAGTGATGTTAAAATTACAGATTGAGACATTTTGAGCTGATTTTTCAGGAACTGAAGTTAATTTATAAGTAACTCAGTGATTAAAACACCACAGCATGCCTCCGTGTGTCCCAGTGTAATTAGGGGCCTGCCATATGCTTTCAGAAATCGAAATGTCTTCAAGTATTGCGTTTGATATGCTTGTGATTTATTTTGCACACTAGCTCTACTGATCAATGAATATCACATGAATGTGAACAAGAATCTTTCAATACTCAATCTAGGTTAGTCTCAGGAGCAGGATAAGGAAATAATGTCTGGGAGTGTGGGGAACAATTAAATTTGTTAGCACGGTAAACGTTATGTTTGCATAAGCAGCCATTCCTGCCACGACCGATGAGGATATGGCAATACCACTGCTATATAATTACATACTAGCTACAGCAGTGCAAACAGGTGGGTTTCCTTAGGTTTTGTGCACATCAGTTAGGTCACCAAGCATATTATCCACACAATTTCCTGACTTCTAAGAACAAAGCTGGTCTTGGTAATAGATACGTATCTTATCCATGCTGTACGAGGTTCACACACTTGTACTCTGAGCTGAGATGTTTAAAGAGGGAATGCGTATACAGTTTTGTATTCTTACTATAGGAAGAGCAGTACGTGGAACCAGCTACAGCCACAAAAACGTGTTAAGAAATGGAAGAAGAACAGATTGGTAAGTTGCGATAAAATGATTAGATACACACATGTATGTAATATTAAGGCAATATATATATATATATATATATATATATAAGAGCTGATTTAGCCAATCACACTATTTTAGGCATCAATCTTTTTTTGACAGGTGATATCATCTTATGGCCTCTCTACCTGTGTGTCATTCTACTCCTTGTCGTTGACGTAATTACCCCTGTTGCAATGACGTAAGCCTAATCATGTTTATTAATTACACAAATAAATCATTATAATAGATAATAACTTCAGTAATATATATATATTATACAATTATTCATCTTTCTTTAATATGGATAGGGGTAGGGGTATTTCCTGTTTTTATTAATAAAGCCAATCATTTTTTTAAAATAATCATATACTTAGATGTCTATCAAGATCTTTACCATCATATTATTTGTCAAATTATTATTGCACTCTGCAATAGGTGTCAACATAAGCATCAAAATAGTCAATAGATTTAATGTAAGGCTGAATCCAAGGTGCTTTTAGTCTAATTGCAAAAGTCTGGCGATACTTGCTGGTCACATGATACAGTTACATGTATTTTTTTAAGTAACCAGGGTAAAACCCACAGCACATGACTTTTCCAGTTCGGTTTAATCACGAAAAAATATTATTAAACGGTACTCAAATATTCGTTTGTAGCATAGGAAATGGTATATGAAATGGTTGACATATTTTACAGGCTGCTCCATCAGTGGCTAGACAGATACACGAATAAGCTACCCGATGACAACATCATGAAGGAAATAGACACAAGTTCTATAACAGCATCTGGCAAATCATATGGAGGAGTACACAATGCAGCAATGGCTGATTGGCAATGAGAACATTTCAAGATGGACATTTGATGTGTAAATGTTATACTATTGGTTGCCATACTGAAGTATTGTCAGGAAATAAGCAGTGAGTATAACCATAGATATATACAAACACAGTGTGTGCATATATCTATGGTGTAACACAGACAAGGTATCTGTTTATATTCACACGCTCACTGTGAATTTCTCTTGTTTAACGTGTATACTCCCGTCTATCTTGTTCAAGATATCTATCTTTGCTAAAATGTGATTTGGACTAGTTGGACTCTACGAGCCACATAAACAGGTTAATGGAACTAATTTATGGTCCGAAATATCACAGCAGTGAACGATCAGTGTATCAAGTGCAATGTTTTAGCATATAAAGACTAATGATTTTTGTGAATATCCAGATTACTAAACAGCACGTTTTACACTAGCAGATAAATGTATATATTATTTTATGGCAAAAATACAACATTAGTTGACTGCCATATCATATTACTTACTTACTTACTTAACCCTCTTCATTTCTGACAGGAACATGTGGACCAATCTATATAATATAGTGATGTATTTTATTGTAATCATACCTTATGTCAGGAAATCATGGTATTTATATTCTACGTAAACTCCCACAAGCTGTTGATAATTAAATAACACTGCAGGTGCAATCACTTTAAATTACATGTATGTGTATTTGTATGTACATGTATGTACATGATGTACATGACATACAATTCATGTATGTACATGAATGTACATGTATGTGTATATACATGTATGTGTATACACATGTATGTGTATCAATAATCATTCCTTTCGTTGAATGCTTTGAGCTGTCTAAGGTGATAAAGAAATTGTGGTAGGGTCACTAATCTACACAAATGCAAAGTTATCACATTATCGATAAAATTTTCGAGCTAATAAAAGTTTGTCCAAAATTCTTCAAGAACTAAATTATGATGTTGTCTTCAGACTTATTTGTGGCATATAGCAAATCAAGGAATTTTGCCTGCCACACTGGCACCTTGGTAAAACATTTAATAACAATGAGATATGCTTATACAGGACGTGCGCGAGTACCAACCTGCGTCCTGTATCATACAGTACACTAATATGGCTAATTGGCTATCTTAGCATGCAGATAGATTAGATGGATGTATACAATCTGCTAACACACTTAAGATTCGCTCACCTCATAGGCATTTCCAAGGGCCTGAAATTTTTCTCCATAAATTTCCTTGTCTGCCTGGAAACAAAAGAAGAATTTTTAAAATGCAATCATGAAATTAAACTAAATAAATAATAATTTTATAATAAACTATATTTGTACATGCAGTTCTATACGAAACATATACATGAATAACAGCAAATCTTTGTTAATCAAATGTGTGTCAGTGGTGTAACAAACCTTACAGTTTAATATTTAATATTATTTATGTCCACATTCTTCATAGATACCTATTGATAATACACACTTAAATATAAATAAATTTACTTACTGCACTCTTGTGCATGTCAGGGTGCAACTTCTTAGCCAACTGCCTGTAGGCTTTTGTGATTTCTTGCTGTAAATTGTTATTAAAATCAATTATTTTAAGGTAGAATGACAACAAAACCAAGTATTCATTCAATAAACGCATTTTGTTCTAACTTTATAATATATCATGATGTAGTTGTTATTTTTAAATAGTAGAACTTGTACACACATTTTGTGTATTTCAGTGAAAGTTCATATGTCTGTAACATGCGTTTCTTACATTTAAAAGAAAGATGCATTGAGAACATGATATATACTACACTGTTATATATAGTATATATATATATGTCAAATTTATTCCCAGCTAAAGTTCCGGTTCTGGCCAGAACTTTTTTCAAGTTCCGGCTGGTTCCGGTTCAGGCCGGAATTTAAAAAGTTGGATCCGGTTCACCCCTAGTATTCACTATACAGTAGTCATATATCTTGGGCATTACCTTGGTTGCATCTCTTGTGACACCAATGACTGAAATTTAAAATATTTACATTTAAAATTATTATATAAATAAATTATAGCATGTATTTATATAATTGAGTATTGGTTCTTTTACCTAACATGCAAGTATAAACAATTATGCTCTCAAGTTGTTCAATCTTCTAATTAAGCAATCAAAGAACCCTTTCAAATAAAACCACCTTATATAGATTTAATACACAGGGTCAAGAACTGTCGTGTCTTTGTGAATGGTTAAACGCTCACATCTATTTCAGTTCAGTTAATAATAATTAGTACTGCTAGTGCTATATCCTCCATGGATGAAATCCTATAGGATCCTCCTAACTATTCCTTCATAAATCACTTTGTTCACACCCTTTTAGAGGCGTGTTTAGAAAAAACTTTACCTTAGGCAGTTGAGTTGACCTTATCTTAAACAAGTCCCAACTGTTTTGCTTAAATTTGATTTGAATATTCAATTTGACATTCTATTTTCCCTATCAAAAGTAATTTTTTATATTTTTTATATTGCATTGTGTTGGTTCTTCGTGGAATAGAACGACTTGATTGCTTTATTTACATTTGAAAAACAGCAATAACCCTATCGATGAACATTATAAATGATAACCCCAAATCTCACATCTCTGACAAAATTTGAAGCCTCTCTCCCATGCTGATACAAAACTTGTGATTGGCATTTAGAAATAGCTGACTTGATGCCCTCGTGATTTTTTGCTACCCCATCACCATCACTAAATTGTTATATATGTATACCCAGGGGTCGAAATAAGCGATGGTCCGATGGTCCGGGGCCATCAAATAATCAGGAGGACCATCAGATTTTCAAAGTCAATGCTCCGACAGACCATTGAATATTTTGGTCACATTTACAATAAACAATTAGTGTATCGTTTGATACACTCATTGTAGGTGAATAATTAAATCATGTTTTCACCATGTAAAATCTCTTTCTTACGCTTGCATGCTGCATTACTTTTAGAGAACAATTTGAAATTTAGGACCACCTGAAATTTAGGAGGACCATCTAAATTTCAAACTAGATGGTCCTGTGGACCATCTCTTTTTTTCTCCTTATTTCTACCCCTGTATACCTGTATATTATACCTGTAGTATACTTGTACACCTGTAAATTATGCAGTTTAAATATTTTGCATTTTCGACTTTTTTGTCTATCAGCCACAATAACCAGTAAATGAATAGTTTGGAAGGTTAGCCTTCTATACAGGCCTGCGCCGGTAGAGATCTATCTTAAAAAGTGCAATAAATTACAATATTCTGCCACGGGCACTTGAAGTTGGAACGCTTCAATAATATTAATAACTCCCGGTCATAAAGGTTGTGCACAGGCCACAGCGGTGTACGTGCGATGAAATTGCGTGTTGCAGAGCATACGAACGGCATTTACGTATATTATTAGTCGATAGCGAATAAATAAAAATTACGACTTTGGTAGCAAATACATTCCCCTCGTACCCTTTGTGCCATATACGACCCTTCATACCATATTACCCTTCCCATAAAAAAATATATTACCCTTCCCATATCCCCTTTCCATGCCCATTCCATGCCTATTCCATTCCCATATCCCCTTTCCATGTTCCCATATTACCCTTCGTGCCATATTGAGTCGGAAGGATTGGGTAGCTTGTCATACCAGCAAAGACTACAAAGGCTGAATCTGACTACTCTAGAGACACGTAGAGAGAGAGCTGATCTTATCGAGACCTACAAGATCATGACAGGATTGGAGAATATTGATCATAGGACATTTTTTTCACCTGCAATCCTGTCCACCACCAGAGGTCACAGCATGAAACTGTACAAAGAGCGCAGTCGTCTCGAACTACGGAAAAACATTTTCTCTCAGAGAGTGATTGACAGCTGGAACAGCCTTCCCCAACATGTTATTGCGGCAAAAGACTTGCTCACATTTAAAATCGAATTAGGCCGCTATTGAACAGTTCAGGGTTTTATATAAGCGCAAGCTGCCTAACCCTTGATAATGATAGCCATACAAACACTTGATGTGATGTGTGGCTGTACATTAAAATACAGTAAATACAGTAAATTGACCGGTAGAAAAGTGTATTTGCGCCTACATTTCGTGTTTATTTACCATTACTATTAGTATTAGTATTACTGAAACGTTCCAAGTGTAGTACTACTAGTACTAGTAGTACTACTACTACTACTAGTACTAGTGACAGTGTGATTGTGAATGTGTGATTCTGTCAAGGTAGGCGGTAAAATAACAATAACTAATTTAAATCACACTAGGCTAATGTCAACAAATGTCTACAATTATTAATAATACCACACCATCATAGCAGTTTTCTTGGCCACAATACAATCCCTCTAAAAATCCGTTCGCTTGCGTAAAAATGGTAGCAATGACCAGAACGGTGTATACGTGTTTAGGTTTAATGGGAGCTGCCATCTTTAAACGATGCATTTCGAATAAAACTGGGATAATTTATTGTCGTTTGAAATTGCTAGCACTATTAACTTTATAATATTTTTACTGAAAATAGTAAATAATTCCAAAAAAATTCCCTTTTTATTATATTTGCTTTTACTTATTTATAATCAGTATTTATTAAAATTCGGATCAGATCGGAACATTCGGATCGGCAGAGCAGCAGTAATATCCGTATTCGTTTCCGGCATTTTAGCGTTTGTTTCTGTGCGGAACATATTATTGGTATACCCATATTATTGTGTTCTGAATGGAAACTCTTTGTAAACATTACGAGGAGATTTGATTCTGTCAGGAGTGATGGGTTCAACTTGGAAGGTTTTATGTCCACCGTTCTGCGAAAATGATTGTACGCAAAAACACAACCAAATGTTAATTTCATTAGTGAATTGCCAGAATGATAATCCTAGCGATATTTTGGAACTCGAAAAACACATTAATATTCATGAAAAGGTAGGTATATTTAAGCTGAGAGGGTCTATGTCCCCCTGGGTACTGCCGGAACGTACCCTGGGTACGGTACGTTATACCGGAACGTACCCTGGTACTATCTAATATGCCAAACCGTACCTCGCCTACTCCACTAACGAGTCTTGGGAGTCGCCTACTCCCTAACCCGAACCCGAACCCTAATCCTAACCCTAACCCTAACCCTAACCATATCAAATAGTGACCAGGGTACGTTCCGGTATACCGGACCGTACCCAGGGTACGTACCGGCAGTACCCTGGGGGACATAGACCCTATGAGCTATATTTAAGGCCAAGACACACTGCAGCGACAGCGACCGACCGTAACGACAAACGACAAAAGTCGCGGCGACTGGCGCAAACACTGCAGCGACAGCGACCGACGTTAGGTCAAAGTTCACCCAGCACTAAGCACTCGCCACAGTGGTACACATCATCACATGAACAAACGGCAAAAACTCATCCTGCTGCTTTTAAATAAGGCAGTGGCTACGGGTGCGGCAGCCGTATCTTAATGTCTCGAGGCTACGGGTACGGCAGTCACACCACGCATGCGCTGCAGCCGTATCTTAATGTCTCGAGGCTACGGGTACGGCAGTCCATTCGGTTTCATACTTAAAGAGACAAAGATGGCGGCGGTGGCGCCAGATTTCGAAATAAGACGTGGTATTCGTCCGAGCATCGGACACCTGTTCGTATGCGCTATTCGTCCGAGCAGTTGTTGCGCATGCGCTGTTCATGTTGTATTACATAAATGTAATATAATGCTAGTCTAGGGAGGCACCTACTCCCTAACCCTAACCCCAGCCCTAACACTAACTATAAACTGACTCGGTTCTATTTTGATACGCTCGGTTTCGTATATATACGCGAGTGATAGTACCAAACACTATCTATAGTGTATAACCACATACGCAACACATGTATGCAGGGGCGTCACAGCCGTAGGGCTGCCGTAGCAAAACGCTACGGGCCCCCAGCCTAAAGGGCATAAAATAATCAAAAATCTAAAGGGTAAATAGCATTTTAGAGCGTCTAGATTTAAAAATTGTCTGGGGGGAGACCCCCCAAACCACCCCTTCACACTTCCTACCTACGTCACTCGTGCCGTGCACCTGCGGCATGCAACATGAACAGCGCATGCGCAACAACTGCTTGGACGTATAGCGCATACGAACAGGTGTCCGATGCTCGGACAAATATCCACGTCGTTCGAAATAACGCATCGGGAAATAAATTCACGATTTGAGAGTTTAGATGAGCTAGAACCCTAACCCTAACCGGTAAAAACCATAACGCCAAAAAGGGGCTTCAACGAACGACGGCTGCCGTACCTCCAGCCACTGCGTTTAAATAACAGGCTGCAAAAACTCTCTAGGCATAAGGATAAGATAATAAAGTAAAATATACGCAGCAAATTATCATGTACTGTACGTACTGTGTCTAGCTTGCCACAGGCTTTGCCAGCTTGCCATGATTTGGTTAGACATCGTTCGCGCCGCCATTGTTTGTGACATGTGTCGCGAGTTTAGCGCCGGAGACCAGTCTACGTCTTGGCTAGCATTATGGTTACTTACGCCGTAATCGTAATGTCACGTGCCGATGGAAACGGCTGCCGATTGGCTATTTGTAAAGTGTCGCTGGCGACTGTCGCTGGAGAATAGAAACGTTCATAAATATTTTTTGTCGTCGGGTTGTCGCCCGGTCGTTGTCGCGTGTGTGTGCATTGGCTTATAGGAAACAATAGTTTCTAATTTTTCTGAAAAGTTGTTTGTCGTTACGGTCGTCAACTGTCGCTGCAGTGTGTCTTGGCCTTTAGTTTGGGCTAATAATATATAGTTATATTATATATATAGTATATATATATAATATATATATATTTATTAATATATATATACTATATATACATATACAACACCCTCAACAACACCCTGTCGATTTTAAAGGCCCTAGCCGTTCGTCACTTTTTTCGCCAAATAAGACTTTCAATCGCCAGATTACTAATTTGTTCGCCATTGGCGAATTGGCAAGTGGGTAGCGAGGGCCCTGTATACATATACAACACCCTCAACAACACCCTGTCGATTTTAAAGGGCCTACCCCTACATTTGCGAAAATGATTTGGGGACGGACAGCTCGACGTCTTATAATAATAAAATATCCTAGCGCCCAGTAGTGGAGTGTTTCTTGCCAGAATTATACAAACTAACAATCTCGACCCACATTGGTTGCCTTAGACTTGGTTTTGGCACTGTGACCAACTATTCAATTGCACCAATTGTAAACTTGACTGTTTCTTGGTGGTGTTTGATGCAGCGCCGCTGTGTGTGCGAGTCCTAGCAGATGTGCAGTATGCTCCCTACCTTCCTTCCGGAAAGAAACTTTTGAGAGAAATGTACAATAACGACGTAATTTCCTGAATTCTATAATCTAGTTGCAAATTAATAAATTCTGATATCATATCTATTATCAATATCTGATTTAATATATATATATATATATATATATATATGCGTATACGCATGATTGAACTAACCAAATTAACAAATTAATTGGGCCCATCATTGTATCTGCATTCTGCATGCAAAACTTGCATGTAAACATTTAGATTCCCTCTTGTTTTTTTGTAAAACCGATTAGTTAGTTGTTCTCGATCAAATGAGTGCATGATAGTAACTGCTGTTGCCATGTGTCATCTTCAAAGAAAGAAGTTCAGTTTTTTTTTTTCTGACATTCCATATTGGAATGTCCTTCATTTGACATATATATATATGCTGCATAGCTAGCAAAGTTTGTGGCAGTCCTGACTGCACTCAGAAACTGAAAAAATATGGACTTTGGGGAACATATATGTCGTGATTCGTGAACCCCAAGGAAACCTTCTCACAATCCTATGGGGTGTAATGGCCCCAAGTTTGAGATATGTTGTGTTAGCCCACAGTCAGCACTATGATTAATACAGTTGCGCTAGATTACAGAGTAATATGTTTATAGTAATGCACTATAGGCAGCATGTCTAGAACTAGAGCTACTAGCAGGGGTATCTTTAGAAGCTGGCACATGGCAAATTAAGCTGCATACTTTGGTCTGTACACTATATAGCCTCTCCTGAATCTTTAGTGAAGGGCCTGCTACTATAAAAATTAATATTTAGTAAAATCCATGTATTATTACCATGGCAACATTAAATATTTTCAGGGCTTTCATGATTGTTATCAAATATCTCATAGATCATTATTAAATATCTTTACATTTTTTATAGTCGGCCAGTGGCTGGGAGCGAAATAATGACATACAAGATATGCAGCAATCTTACAGGTTTCCCCTGTTGCACTGGGCAGCTGTTTTAGGTAATACTGCAATAGCAATGGCGACAGCTCTTTTATCAAATTTACTTGCATCTCGGTATTTACTCATATATGTTATTATTTTTATCTAATTTAACATGGAAAATATGTAGATAGTTCGATCACTGGCATAAGCTAATACATGAATATTTGTGCAGGACGATTTCTGAAATCTAATAAACAACCCAGAAATAGCATCAATTTTTTAATGTTTCCAGTCATAACGTTCTTGTTCAACAAAAATGTGTGCAGTGTGTGTGTGTGTGTGTGCATGTGTGTGTGCATGCGTGAGTGCTTGTGTCTGTTACTATATATTATGTACAGCAAATCAAATAGCAAGTTGAGAATTTCTCATGTTGACTACTGCAATGCCATCGTTTATTTAGTTAACTGAAAACTAGAAATCATTAAAGGGTGGCACACCTTCACTAGCAGTGATAAAGATACTTGTGTTTCTGTGACTGCAGGAAAGCTGATTGTAGTGGAATGGCTTCTGAAGCACGGATGTCGGCCATGTTCACAGACCCGCGTCACCAGACACACGGCATTGCACCGGAGCATACAGATGCTCGGTCAGGGCATTCCCAGCTTCCGCAGCAAGATAAACAAAGAGAACATTCTGCATCTTATTGGTAATAAAGTACAATTAGGCAAAAAATGTGCAATAAAATAGCATGTGGGATCTGTAGGTTGTTCACGCCTTTGCCTAGGAAGTTATATATATACTAAGAAATATTAGCAGGAAGGATGCCAAATTCCAATGGCTTGTATCGATTGTGCCATATGCAGACTTATTTAGGGAAAAGTATTTATGTGATAATCATTTACATTGTCTGCCACTTGCACATGGCCTAGCTCACAGTAAATATATCTAAACATTTCCTTGCAAGGTTGTGGCATCTTAACTTCATTGTCACAATGGGTTGCACTAGCATATACCATATATAGATGTTTTCATGGAGGCAAATCAACTCATGTTATCTTTTAGAGCTGTTACCGGATTGTCTGATAGTGAAGAATGCGGAAGGAAATCTTCCAATACATGATACAGCTGTTATCATTGAGGAAAACAATCAGAAGGGGCCTATAATGAAAGCCATTATGCAAAAGATGATGGATGAAGCTAGCAAGTTGGGACCAGGTAATATATGTGTACATTGTGTTTGAATTTGCATTGGTGTTGGACTATTTTAAAACTTAAACTGTATGTGTAATAACATAATACACACGATTATGGTCATAGCATGCATATTAATTATTGGACCGAGAGTTACTCGGTCTTTTATTTAAATTTTATTAATGATTGGGTTTGCATCACTCCCTTAATGGATGTCATTATACCATTTATTACCGTTTTATTATGTCATTTCTGTGAAGATTATCAGGTAGGTGAAATGATAATATGTCAATGGGATTGATTAATTTTTAATTTTTTTTCTAGATAAGTCTTAATTAAACGGGGTGATGAGCTAGAAGAATGACGATTTGGCTTAACTGACAAGTAGTTAGTTAAAGTAATAGGTAGGTGACGATACGGATGAACTAGCATATAGTATACTTTACATTGCAGCGGCCATCACTAGGATGCTGAACACGCAGAACATTAAGGGAGAGACAGCACTGCATATCCTCTGTCGTAATGATGAGAACTACACCATCGTTAAACTACTGCTGGACTATGGCACGCCAAACCTTGACCTTGAAAATGAACGAGTGAGCATGAACTTAGGAAGTCCTCCATTAATTCTTAGATGAACAATGCCAGTACTGTTCTACGTTCTTCCTGGAATGGATGGCAGCACAGATTTAACATTTTTCACCGCGTTCTCATTTTATATGCATGAAATCAAGCTGAAGCGTTTATAACTTCACATGTGACAACTGCTCTTCCTAATCCAAAGATTTGTTCATATTGCTGTAGGTACATTGCTAGTCGGAGGAACATAGGTGACAGGACTGCCATAATTATTTCGGGGTGTGTTTGTATTTCAGGGGCAGGTGCTGCTCGATGTTGCTATTGACAAGGGTGCCATGAAAGTCTGCAGCCTTCTCCAACAATTAGCAAGGGAGTTGGTATGTATGTTTGGAGATGCTACTGCACTAAATATCACAATGTAAGTTAAAAACACATGGTAAGAGCCATACATTTTTGACTCTGAAAAGATTCAGCCAACTCAGAAAATGCTGGTTAGCTGCAGGTTGGTTAGGGATAATATCTACTCTGTTATTGAAAATATCCAGTTATCCTCATCAGATTTATTTATTTTTACAAATCTCTATGTATGTAGATTATTGACCCAGAACATCCCATGAATTATTTTTCATTTAAAATATGACAATGTACACAGAAATGTGTTTTCTCAATTGGCTGCATGCATAATAACGTCGTATACGTATGATTACCCAGTAATGGTGACCGTCTTCATGATTTCTACAGAACGTCTGGTGGGTTTCCACTTGGGCTTGTAGTATTAGTAGATGTTGTGCGTATGTGAGGTCGGTAGCTGGCTTTGATCACTGCATGGCCTTATAAGTATGCAACCTCTTATGATTGTAGCTTCCTATCCAAGAGAAGGTGGGTCGCAGACAACCTATGTCAGAAGAAAGCATGTCATCTATTGTGTAAGTTTTTTCAACAGCTGAAGCATAAAATTGATTTTAGTTGAAAACGGTATTCCTGACATGAATATTTATATAAATTATGTCGATTGTGTGTCGTGTTTTAGTAAGTGGCTATCATACTCATTCTGTTTATATCTTGCTGGCAGAGGAAGTACTTTATCTAGGTGAGTACGTTTAAGACAGATGTAATTTAACGAGATGTACTTCTAATAAAAATTGCTGAAATTCACATATTTTATCATAGTTAAAGCCGCACTATGCGCATCCAAACGCTAATTTCTCCAGTACTAGACTAGCAAATACTTCGTGTCATGCATAATCACACTACCTTAAATGGCAAAATAAACTAGTTCCTCCCATTTCACTGCGCGTTTGCTTAAAACCCACAAGAAAGAGGTGCGAAATCTGGTAATCTGGCGTCAACGCCGACTTGTTTGCCAAACAATTTAGCCTCGAAGCGGTTAGGTGACGTCACATGTTTTTATCTTTGCTACACTCGTACCGCAGCACCGCTGCATGGTTGCTTGGGAGAGCAACGCGAAACTGTCAACAACATTGGAGAATTTGAACAACATTGGAGGTATTTTCAAATGCCTTTTATAATACAACGCGCAGTGAAATGGGAGGAACTAGAGTTTATTTTGTCATAAGGTAGTATGATTCTGCATGACACGAAGTATTTGCTAGTCTAGTACTGGAGAAATTAGCGTGTAGATGCACATAGTGCGGCTTTAACTGAACTTACTAACATAATACACGTATTGCTGGAAAAGATTACTTGTTTAGCGTGTGTGGATTCTTTTAAAGTAATTTGTGATCGGTGTCACTATCTCACTCTAAGAATCTGGTTATTGGTTACAGGGAGCCACCTCACAAAAAATCTCGTAAGAGCACAGGTACACCTGACTATAGATCCATGGCAGGCATACGTGGTGCAAAGAAAGGTAGCCAAGCTACCATAGAGGCAAGCAGGTGGGTTTCTCTTCTGGAAAGTAATAAAGAACTGGCTTAATTTCTCACTCATGAGATGAGAAAGTAATAACCCTCACACTATTAATTAAATCGTTGTTGTTTTTACAGCACACCCACGCCAACCCTCGATGAGACTGATCCACATTCACAAGCTATGTCACGGCTAACCCCAGTCGTAACGTGTGTGCGTACCCACAAGACAGAAGCATCTTCATCTACAGCAGAACAGGTCGACTCGACACATGATGATGCCACTGCGAAAACTCCCCTTTCAGTTATTGTGCCAGCTAAAGAGAAATCAGAACCAAGGCTAGGACGTCAAACACTTTTATGCCGTGAACCTGTCCAAGAGGTTTCTTCAACAAAGCGGCAACAAACTGCTAAAAAGCAGTTCGGCTCTGCATTTCGAAAAGTTTCTGGTGAGGGGCCATCAGTGACATCTACTGGGGAAGAAATGAAGCTTTGCAATGATAGGGAATGTGATGAAGAGGAAGAAGATGGTGTCACAATGTGAGCATTTAAGAATTTGTAGAACTAAAATGTGACCCGCTCCAGCAAAACCAGGATTAAGTAGGAAATTCTATAAATTGAGTTATGTGCATATCTGAATAGATCATTTAATTATCTTTAAAATGATATATAGTATTTGGCTATATCTAAAGAATTAACCAATCTACAGCAATTTGAAGATCGGAAACCGACTGATTCCGGAATATGCAGCTTTTGAGTTAAAGCGTTCCGGGTAAGGGGCCCAGTCGGAGATGAGCGGTCAAAGGCCCGTCAAAAATTTTTTTTTTTTTTTTAATTAAAAATGACCATAATAATCTAGAGATATCTGAACCTATATATCCGGATTAAATATACACTTAGGAACTTATTTTTGGTGTAAAAATTTCATTTTTGTCCAGGTAGGCCATTTTCAGCATTGACATGTGTGCGTGCTCATTACTCAAAACAATGACTTGCGACTTAGTTCGTATTATGCTGGAGCGGGTCACAAATGGCATTAAATGTGTTTTTATGGTTTAGTGTTTGTGTACCAATTTCATCATTCCATCCCTTATGTTGTTTTTAGGGACCAGGACGACAATGGTGATCTTGACAATGATAGTGGCGATGATGATGATATTGCATCAAAAGCATGTAAGACTATATTATTACTATTCCTGTATGTCAAGACATAATTAATATTGAATACACTGGGTTTGCTGGATGACAAAAACCTCTGTGGTATGAAACTATTAATCGTGAAGCTATATGGTAATATAATATTATGCAAAACACATTTCGTGTTCTGCGAATTTACTTCTTCCTGCGAATTTATTACTTCTTTGATTTATGTAAATTAATAAACATATGCGTTACCACTACAGTTTACAAACTGAATATAGAAATGAGCTAATAATATGGATTGCTTTGTTTGGGTAGCTTTTTAATATTGCTTCTGTTGACTTGCAGCCTTAGGAACAGCCTCAGCCCTGACCGCTTACATTAAACTGAAAAATCATAGCTTTTCTGTATTACTGGATGAAGATCGCAAGGCTTACCTGGCAGGATTGGCTGACAATAATGAGAAGTTTAAAGGTATATTTCTATAGACAATAGTACAATGCTTAGAGAACAGATGTCCTGTTGCATGTGACCTAGGCCTAGTAACACTATTATGCATTATTACTTGGTACTTGTTTTGCAATACTACCGTCATGAACCTTTGTACTACCTATACTGAATACACATAGGTTTATGCTACCCTGTTATCTTGTTGTGTATAGTAACAAGTTTCCATTGTATTACCCTGTTACCACGTCACGTATTGTTGCGAAATGGCCCTATAACCCTTTCAATCTACTTTCTTTATAAGCACCTTAAAATGGATCACCACACTCTTGTTTACTGTTACAGTTGTGCAGCGTAATAAGAACGAGATGGAACTAGCCCTGAAAAAGAAGAAGGAGCGCATTGAGGAGCTGTTACGAGAGCTGAGACCCCTACAGGAGGAGTGCAAGCACTTGGAGGAACAGAAGAAGAAGATTGGTGGGCAGATGGAAGAAATGGTTGAACTACATGCAACCTACAAGGCGAGATTAGATGCATGCAATGCAGCTATTGCCGAACTTCACAGCATCTCGTCTGGTGCTATGGTATGACCAGTGGATGCATTTCATCCTGTCCCTTTGTATGGCAAGCAGATCTATCTCTCCTGAATCCAATGTCTGAGCAGTACCATCGTTGGTTCACTGACTCCATATCTTTTATCAATGCTATGTAGCCATTGGCTTTTATCTCTCTATGCTAATGTGTGGCTAGTCACTTGATTCGTGGCGATTGATGAGCTTAAATGGCGATTTTAAATTAATTTGTCTTCTTTTTAGTATAATAGAATAGGTTTTGCTATTTTTTGTACTCATGTTAAAAACTATATAGTAGCAGAAAGTAATACATTATGCTTATTGAGAGCAGTTGCATTCCTCAACACTCTTCGTTGCTTTATGTAGTTGTTCAATACCAAAGATATCAATTTTGTAAAAAATTGAGTGGTCAACTGATTGATGTCAACTAGTCTAGTTGAAAGATTAGAACATGTTATTATTTCTCAACTTTTGGTCTACAAATTGATTAACTTGCATGCAGCCACTCAGAGAATAGCAATGAGGGGATGTACGTGTCCTTCCACCCAGGGGGAGATTATTTGCATGCGCGTTTATGCTATTATACATGCTATGCTATGCTATTATTACCTCCGCGCAAACGGAGGTCATGCAATCGCTCTCGTGTGTGTGTGTGTCCAGTCTGCGCGGCGCGATCGATAGCGTGTTGAGTCAGCGAGCAGGCGGCGCGATCGATAGCGCGTCGAGTCAGCGAGCGGTGAGTCAGCAGCAGGCGAGTCAGTCAGCAGCCGCCACCAGCGAGCACATACATGTTACATGCTCGCGGAGGTATGCACTCTCCGTGAGTGCCCTCTGTCTAGTATATGCAAGTTATACATGGAAGACTGCATATCCATATCGACGCCACGCACCCTGCGGTTTAAAGGTTGAAACGTTTTCCGACTCACAGTCAATAATATGCGCTAAACATCTGATAGAAACAATGAAATACAACGTTGAAAACTTGATCAACTTGTCAACGTTACAACTAAATGTTGATAAACTCAGCTTAAATCCCAGTTGTGTTGCACTGTTGTTGAATTTAATGTTCTGTGTATATGTAGCTAGTTGTGTATAAAAGTTAGGAGTCAAATTTAACTGAGTGATTGAATAACAGGAATTTGTCATTATTAACTCCTGATATATATATATATATATATATATATAGAGAGAGAGAGAGAGAGAGAGAGAGAGAGAGAGAGAGAGAGAGAGAGAGAGAGAGAGA